TCATCAATGACCCAAACATGTTGTGGCGACTTAAGAGTCATTCCTTGACTAGTATGAATGGTCATTGCGTATTCGAGTTCCCAATCTATAACTTTTTTATCTACTAATACATCTTTTAAGAACTTGTCAGAAAGTGTATTTAAGGGCAAATATACTATATCATTTTTTACTAACTCCTTCTTTTCAGATGAGCTGGGAATTTGAACAAGGCAATTCTGTTTATATCTATCTTTTTGCCTATAAATTAATGGGATTGGAATTTCAGGATATTTTACTTGATAAATTTTTAAGCATTTTTGGGAAGCAATTCTCTGGAAAAGTATATGTGCTAATAAGATACGATCTGATGGCTTCCATTCAGCTTCAAGATATTTCTATTTTTCTGTATTCGGAAGTGCTTCACAGAATAAGTCTGACTGCATTCTGTTATTTTGGCATCGCATTTTTTTTTTAAGCTCTTGTAATCTAGGATATTTGGCTCGATAGTCAGTTAAGACTTTCTCATAGTAATCAGCTCGCTCTTTTAACCAGTTATGAGGCATTTTACCAAAGAATGGTAGAGGTTGAGCATCATTCTCGCAACAGATTACCTGACATTTTTTGCTCTAGTAAGTAGTCGATAAACTTCTCTAGAATATGTCTAGGCACTGTACATACTTCATCCCAGATTACAACTCGTGAAAATTTCTTTTCTTCTATGCATTCAGGAGTCTACTCTCCTATACCATTCCATCTAAAGAAACTATGCCAAGTTTGGGCTTTTACCTTACGGTCATTTTGAAAGTCTTTAGCCAATACATTTGTATGAGTAAAGACTACCATGTTTATATCTTTAAAGATTTGAATTGCACGCATTGTCTTTCCAAAACCACCATCTCCATTAAGATAAGAAACTTAGAATCTTGTAATAGGATCATAAATTGATGGTGCAGTACTTTCGGTAATATTTTTAATCGATTCCCAATGCCTATTTTTTGGCCAGTATACAATATTAGGATCTGGACCATGAATTTTTTCCCCTTTATCATGCCATTGTCCAGGTTGTATTTCTTTAATTAGTTCTGAAAGAACCTTTTCTTTTAGAGGTTCAGATATTTTAGTAATAGCTATACTAGTATTGCTAGATGGCTTCTTATCAGTGATAACTCTCTCAAAACCTTTATGAGCATACCAATCCCAAAAACAATCATGACAAACAAATAGTTTATGTTTACTACATGAAAAATATTCTCCTACCGCTAAAGGCATTTTAGTTTTTTGAAATACTTTAACCAATTCTATAAATGATAGGTTGTTACACACTGCACATGAATGCCAGTCGTGTAAACATAGAAATTACTAGTATTTACTGAATCTTTGGGATAGCTAATCTTTTGCTTAACTTGCTTAAAGAAGGCAGATACATTTTCGATCTTATATAAGGCCTCTTCGTATATATATAGAATCTGTTGTGATTCTTACTACTTCATTAGGGCCAAATCTTCGAAGCATTTCCAGTAAGTTTATATGGGCATAAGCTAACATTGAGGCTCGCAAATGTGTATATTGAGGCTGATGGTCTTCATAGTATGTAAGTATATGTCCAAGCAGATATTTATTACTACCTGCATATGTTCCTTCTTTAATGCAATCCTGGATCAAGAAATCAAGTTCACCTTTGTCTTTTACAACCCGGTGAGTAAGGTATTTTTCTTCAACTTTATTTCCTTGTGTGAACTTTCCTATGATTGCGCAACCTATATCCCGATTTTTAGGCAACCATACTTTTGTCTACTTGGTAAGAGAAATAATGGCTTCTCCTATAGTTACACTTTCTAGGATATCTGTTTCAAGAAGATATCGTAGAAGTACGATAGGAGTCCAGCCTTTTGCCTTCCCACATCCTTCTCCACTTCAACAGGCAAAATGCTTTCCATACCAAATAGAAATTACTGGATGAATATTAGGGACAAATTTGAAAGATCTTACTTGTTCAAATCCTATAATATCGTCTTGTGGCAATTCTCTATTCACTGCCACTCGAACAAGATGATGTATTGGATGGCCATATCATTTGAACCATAGTAAACATTCTCCCTGACCATGCATGCTTGCTAGATAATATTCCTTCATGTCTATATATACAACATCTTCGACTTGATAATTAGGTATATTCTAGTGTCCTCCATGCCTATGTTTGACACAAGATTGCTTTATATTTTTATGTACACTAGCCAGAGTAGGATGCTAATCATTGATCTCATTGGCAAGTTTGCCTCCAGCATGATTAGTACCAAATACCTGTTCTGCTAATTCAACTATTTTAAGCGATTCTAGAGATTCTCACTTTCTTTTTTCATTAATTATTTCTTCCCGAAATTGCCAGTCTACTGCATCTTCAAATAATTCCTTACATGCTTTTATAATATCTGTATGCTTCATCCATGTTCTAAATGTATGAACATCTTCTAGAACAAATTGGAATATTGACTGGATCTCTTTCAATATTTCTCCTTCTCCGAGTCCAAGCCCAATAAGCTATATTGCTTGTGGTCCTTGAAGAGCTTTATTAATAGCCTTTTATGCATTATCATTATAATACTCCACCATTCGATCTCTTGGAAAATGATGATTTCTAGAAAATGCGTGACCATTATGAACTACCATCTCAATCTCTTCAAACCTACCTGTTTGATATTTTTTACTATTAAAAATGGTCCCGTGAGTAATATCAAGCAATTTGATTAGCCTCTTAAGTATTTTTTCTAATTCTGCTACATTCTCTACCCGAGCACCAGGCTGACATGTTCTTTTTTCCCATGTGTCAATTTTTTGCCTATATATACTAGTCAGACCATGTTCTTTTTTTGCTTTTTCAAAATGCTTTATTATTCGCTAAGCCACACAATTAAGTGCACTATCTTTCATGGACATTAATCATTTACTATCTGGCTCCCAGATTCTATATAGTGTATAGACAACTGTATTATTTTTAAATATTTCAAAATCAGAGATTTTAATTTGAATTGCTCTAACTAAAAATTTATTATTGATTCCAACCTAGAAGCCTGGCTTTGTTTTTTTTGTAAGAACAACATTTTGACTCTCTGGAATGAATTTATTACCAACTTTTTTTGACTTACGTATGGGCTCATATTTGTCAACAATTTTGAAATTATCATAATCTGGTCGAATAAACTTTATCCTTATAAGAAACTTATCATT